CCAGTCAGATCTGTTGCAACAGCATTATTTGACACGGAGATGCAGCTGCGAGAGAGAAAAGAGCCTAATAACCAAACCAAGTCAGCAGGAAATGAAGACATTGATAACAGTCACAGTAGGTTAGGATCTTAAGACGTCCTCCTTGACTGGATGAACAAAAAACATACTAACTACTTCAACTGCTGAGTTAATTTGCTTGTAAGAGCTGCAACTGAGTCAAAGATTCCCCCTGAATTTACAAGGTCTGGAGTTGTGGTAATGATGAAGTCGGGGAGGCCAAACATGACAAACTCAGACTTTCTCTCATTAAGCGTGAGGAGTCTTTGATGTTTTGAGACGTCAGCTCCCTCAGTCAATACCAGAGGAAAATAAACCTCATGCAGCCCTCGGCGTGTATTTTTGTTCAGTTTTAAAGGATGAAGTATGTGTATTTTTTTAGTAGCATATAAACAGAAAAGGCAGATTTAGTGCTGTGACGACAGAACAGACTCTTCTTCCTTTTAAATTATTGTTGTCTAAAGCTAACGTTAAAGTCCTGAGCTCCCTCTTCTTCATAACCATGATTGAACATGACATAAACAAGTCAAAATTACTCTTTAGGCCTTTCAGGCTTCGACGGTGGAGTGCTAGCAGCGGATTCCTCTTCACAGCTGACCACTCACGCTCTCTGGATAACTTGGGTCGTTGTCAGGCTGTAGCCGTTTTCCTGCTCACGCAGACGTCAGGGACGAGCTGCTGTGTGTATTTTAGGAAAACACCACCACGTGTTAGCAGCTGCCTGAGAGACACTTCATGCCGGAGATAGCGGGTCTGAAAACACATTCACAACAAGGTTTGGTGTCAAGTCCTCACAGATCAGACATGATGGAAAAAATTAACCCTGAAGCACAAACACAAACCGTCAGTGAGTGGCCAGGTCCCTTGATATTTTTATTTTCTTACTTCTGTGGAGCTGTAAACTAAATGAGATATTTGTAGTGATTGAGATGAAATACGTTATTTCATAAAGCTGTTTTCAGACTTATACGACAGATTACTCATTTGCATTCTCACATACAGCACCTCACTATATTTCAGGAAAATGTTAGTGCATGTCTGAAAGTAGCTTAATTGTAAGGCAACCGGAAAACCCCTTGACATTGATATCCTGCTTCTCTCATGTAATCACTTTTCCTCAATGGCGCAAATGAATTAAGGGATGCTACTGGCTGCTTGTCTGATTGGACCGTGCCATAATATTTAACTTACTATAACTGCTAAGAGGAAAACTAAATGACATGATATTAGATAGCACTTCATAATCAACCTTGTCTTCCACTTTAGCTGTGATGCTTTGAACCGTTCCTCTCAAAATGTCCACGATAATCTGTGAGAAAAAAAGGCGAGTAAATCTGTGGGCTGCTCGTATGTTTGGCTCTCGGGGGGGGGGGGGAGCCTTCCAGGTTATAGCTTCACCGTGCCAGAGATTTAACCACTCAACCAATCATGAATATGTAATATGTACATTTCCACGTAGAGCACTCACTACCAGTAGTGAAAATTCATGCATTTTTTACAGTAAACATTCTATTGGATTTGATTGGCGAGAGCATCTCCAAGAGCAGATTTAGTGAATTTGTTTGGTTGTTGTTATTCCTCTCAAGGACTTTGCATGAAAGCAGGAATTTATTATTTTAGTCAAGTCTCAGACACTGTATAGTTTTGTTATTGCAGATAATGTTAAGTCAACCATTTAAAATGCTGAGGCACAAACCCTGGGGCCCCTAAAAAGCGCAGGCACAGACGTTAACAAGCTTACACAGCTATTTTGTGTTCCTACACTGTATTCATCCAGTTTCTGAATTAAGTATGTCGGGTTAACAAGCAGCAGCTGATCAGTTGGCGATAAACCCAGAGGGACAGAGCGATTTCAGTGAAGTGGCCAAAATGAAAAGTTGCGGGGGTCATCTGACAAGCTTGAGAGAAAAGAGAAGTCATGCAAATTTAAAGTAAATCCTGACCGTCGAACACTTTCAAAACTTATTGTTTGAACCGGCTATCCACTCCCTGAACAACCCACAGCTTACCCACAGCTGGCCGCTAATGCTGTGGATGATAATGCAGTTGGAGCGAGATACTGTCTATAAACAGTCTGAAAGACATGTCTTCTTTTCCAGCCTTTCAAAAGTGGAAGCATGAGAGGAAGAGTCCAACAAAGCAACTCTAATCGACCTCGTTACCCGAGACAGGGTTCAGCCAGTTGGTCCTCATACATCATAAATGTACTTGATTAGCATAGGCCTACTTGTTTGAATATTGAAACGGGGTTATGTCAGAACAATGTCCTTTTGTCTTCATCAATACTACGACTTGCTTTACAAAGAACGTTCAGCTTTAGGCTTCAGTGAGATATCATGTATAAAGCCATTAAGTGCTTAAACCATTGACTGTAAATAAAGATGGATGACGTGTCGCCACTTCCTCACACTTTCTAGATATGACGCCCACACACCCCACGTAAAAACGCTGCCATGCTGCGCTTTTGGAGCCAGAGGTTGCACAGTAGCGATCGGGGATGGAGGGGCGGTACCAAGGTCCCGCTGATATATGCATTTGACCAATCACAAGTCAGTGTCGGCTGTCAATCACAATGTTTCGCTGTTTTTTTAACAGAATCAAATGAGTCATTAATACCAGAATAACCAGAAATTTAAAAAACACTTCAGTGTCATTAAACCTATGTAGAATTACACAAAATTATTTTTAGTTTGGTCAATGTCCCATCTGCTAACATGGAGGAGGTGGGGTTTCAAACCTATATTGCACACAGCCAGCTAACTAAATTAGTTAAAGTTAAAGTTAGGTTCATTAGCTAGCTACAGCTAGTAAAGTCGTCCGTGTTTTCAAAAATTGACAATGTAGAAATGATCGGCCTCTTTCTTCTTTGTTCGGATTTAAATGTTTCAGTTATTCTGGCATGAATTTCTCAGGACTTGTATAAAAAAAAACCTTAATTTTCACTTTTATCACTGTTAAAAGCAATGACTTCAAGCTTGACGGACACAGCAACAGACACTAAGGAGTGTGAAGCTTAACCAGCGGTTGGTTGTCAAGATTCGGAACCATTAGGGCTAATATATATTTTATACGCCATCATCAGCCACATGAATTTATTATTTTGGTTTAATTGATGTGGTCAGGCACTTGGCCAAGCAGAAGCCGCAGACAGACACTAACGCATGTGAAATTTAGAAGGAAGTGATATCACCTTTTTTTTTTTTGGCATGAGAAGGTTTTAAGGGAATAAAGGGATCACCGCTGGTTCACCGCTGGGTCAGCGCTGGTTCACCGGTTTGCCGGCTCCATGGTTACCTGGCTTACCTCCCATAAGTAACACTCACAGAGTCTCAGCTCACATCCTGCAGAAAAATGCTTGTAGAATATAGTTGTATGAAAATGTCCGGACATTATTTATGGTGAACGAGTGTTTGCATTTGAATAAAGAAAGCCCATCCTCTAAAATCAAATATCTAGGCGGTGTGAATTGAACTCTGCGACACCACAATAGAGATGCAATCATATTTTTCAACCGTCTCGGGGAGAAATCGCTCACAAATCATCGCTGTTGAACCACATGGGTTGTGAGGTTCTCATCCACAAACACTCAAAGAGGAAAATTCATAGCACCATTGAATGTAAATGCAGATGTTATGAATCAGCTGTCCAATCTTTTTATAAGTGGCTGTGCAGGGGGGCACTACCATTCAAAATGTAAAAAAAAAATGAAATGCAATCCTTCTTCTCCGTGTCCGGTGGTTCTTATCCTTAGCATTATCCATTCAAATTTCTCCAACACACACCTTTCGACAGGTTTTATTTCTTAAGTGAAGCATAACTCATCTCTTTTAGATAACCTCCTAGTTGGCGAAATGAGCCATACATTTATTTTATGTTGTATGGGTGTAGAGTGCTTCCCCTTTTCCAACTGCCTGTGTAATTCTTCCCCCTCTGTATGTTTTATAGTACGACAGAGATGAGCCACCATTGGCTGTCCTCAGCTCTGTGTTCTGCCGTTTGTCTCGCAGATTTAGTACAAAAGCAGAGTCGACTTTCTGCTGGAATGTTTGCGCCACAACTTTAAAAATCAAAGCAATTAAATTAAAATATAATAAATCCCTTGATGAAAACGATAAAACACAGAATTAAATGGATAAAATAAATTATACGGATCAAATATAGACAGAACATTCTTCACAAGGTTTATTCAGTGGCCAGGAGCCCTTCATGTCCACCACCACTTCACTAAATCCTCAGCCCCCTAATCTCCCATAAACACTCCCTGACTGTGGAGCTTCCCTGGCAGTGCCAGCGTGTGTGTGCCAGCCCCGTATACCCATTAGCACCGTTAAGCCTCTGCCTCCAAACAACCCCCACTCGTAACACGAAAAGGTGAGTTGGATGATCACCTCACTTTTGCACTATGGATGACGTTAATCCTCAACTCTGGGAATGATCTTAAAAAACAGAATAAGTTCTCATCCATCCTCGGGGTTAAACTGCCTCTCATTACCAGCGAAGATTTGCATGCTGCAGCAGCTGAATTTCATTTTCTCCATCCCAGTGCAGTTTAATCTCTCCTCCCCTTCATAACCCCCCTGCCTTCACTTTTCCGCTCATCTTCATCCCTCTGCGTTATTTGCATGTTTATACTTCTCCCTCTCTAGCCTCCTTTACTCTATCACACACACACACGCCACTGATTGTTTTCCTCGCCGCAGCCTGTATTCCAGCAAACCAGATCACTCCTATCCCGCCGTAAACAGGAACTGTACAGTAAACAAAAATCAGAAGATGCTGCCAGCGCAATCAGAGCATATTTCTTTTCAACTCCCCTCGCCGCCTGTGCTCTGTGCCGCTCATACTCTCAGTGCACTGCAGCTCCTCCCTCCACCTCTCTCATCAGCTGCCCCTCCCTCTGCCTCTCCGTCTCTGCTAGGTGCAGCATGTATGTGAGCCTGTGTGAGCCAGCAGAGCCGCCTGTGTGTTTACATGTCAGCCTATCAGTGCAGCCGGATTTAGCGCATCTGGAGAGGACAGAGGCATTTCTCAAATGCCCCTAAGACAAGGGATTCTCGTCGCTGCAAATATCCCTCTTTCCCATCTGAATCTACCCTGCCTGGAATCCTGCATCCCTGTCTCCATGCTTTCGGAGGCATTTTGAATTTCCTTGGCAACATGGAGCTGCCTGAATTAGAATTCTCCGCATGACAGTCCTGGTAAGTACTCAGTCTCTATGGTGGGCTTTGAGAAGTGAGGCACAGGATCAGATTTATTATGGTGCAGTGGTGGGGCCAGGGGATCACAAGGGAGCAAATTAATGTCAAGAGTAAAATTGTGTAACATAAGCAAATGGGAAAGAGGGAGAAGAAGAATTATTTACTGAAGAGGGACCCAGATCTTATTTGTGCTTTGTCATCCAGATGGGTTTCATTCTGCTGTGTGCTATGAAATCTGGTTTGTGCTGATGGGACACACACACACACACATACATACACATTGTGTTTGTATGATATTTGAATGTGCATTATGTTAGCACAGATATTTTTCATGATGCACATGAATGCAGGCACTCACTGTAAATATGATATCGTATGTGTGTGCATGAAAGCATGCAAACACACATATGTCCTATACCTTTTGATACCACAGCCGAAGGTGTGAGGCTGAGCAGGAGAGAGTCTGTTCTGTGTTTCTCCCCCGAGTGTTGTTGTTGCTTCCCTAATCTTCCCTCATTAACATTCATGTTCTTTTAAAGACCAGTAAACTTCTCCACATTCACACTTATTCATTCTCAGCAGCTTTGTGCCATTGGCTATATACACGGTGGCACCCGATGCAGGTCTCAGATTTGCCACAGGTTAGGTAAATGGGTGGTGGTGGTGGGGAGGATGGGTGACTTTGTATAATAATTTATGCAAGACAAATAAGCGATCTCTCATACTTTAATTTCCATCGCCTGATGTATTTGCATCTTCCTAATCATGGCTGCAACGCTCCAGTTGGCAGACGGCTATGAGGGGACTCTTCCTCTCCGTTTTTTAACAGTGCAGTAACAACCTCTGCCAGCCACCGACCCCCCAGCACTCTTCTAAGTGAAGGGTCTGCTCTTCACACCAAGGCTTTATGATTTTTACAAAGATTTTAATTGGACCCCTGTTCTCAGGTTATGATGGCTGATAGGAATCGTTATTGGGTTTTTTTTTTTTTTTTTCATTTCTATGCTGTAGTTATTGATGCGTGTCGCTGTGTGTGCACGTCTGTCGCTACAAAGCATTTAAACACAATTTCAATGGACTGAAATGAGCTTTTTTTATGAATGGAATTTATGTTTACATCTGGTGAACAACTGATTAAAACTGTTATTGTTGAAGGGCAAACTGTTTTCAGCAATCTACATATTGTCAGAATGAGTTCCCTCGGTTTGTTCAGTTGTATATTTGCAGCATTTATGCACAAATTACATCTGTATATCAAGACTGGGGAATACATTCACCCCCTTTACTGCAGTTTAATTAACTTAACATTGATTTGACGGGGTTTTTTTTCTTTCTTTTTTGGCAACTAGGGCAGAACTAGGCAGAAGAAATAGCATTTACAGAAGCCAACGAGGGTCTAACTAAACATCAGCACATACATTATCACCATGTAGAGGGTGTGATGTTTCTTTAGCAGTTACCCATCTACACACTCAACAGATCCAGAGCAACATTAGCTTCCAATTGGAATAATTGTATTTTCCATGATAAACATGAATCTGATTTCCCCCCCCCCCCCCTTTTAGCTCCTCTTTGGTCAGCTCCACCTTCTGAATACCTGGTTGTTTAGCTGCTAAAAGCTACGTGTTCTTCAACTTCATGTAAAGTCTGCAGATAGAATCCAGTGGGTTTATTAAAGCTGCCTGCTGTAGCTGGGAATTATGCTGATCAGAGCAGGGATGCTGAACCAAAATAGAGAAACGAAAATAATTAAAGTATATAAAGGGGAACTGCACTTTCAAGTGATGAGCCTTCGTGTCACCCTTTGCACCTAATATTAGTTTCTAGACTAATATCATTTGATTACGGCACCTTTAATGTTCTCCACTGATTTTTTACACCTTTTTCATCAATGCTCCATGAGATCAGTGAGAACATGTTTAGCTAAAGCTGATTTCACACATGCACTGCAACCCTGAACTTTTCTAGCCATTAGCCAGATGAGATGCATGAGTGAATGTTAATATCTGAAACATCTGAACAGGACATTAAACAGATTCCACCCTCCCAGCTTCATTGTATAACGTCTCTGTAATGTCTTATTGAACCGATGTGTGAACCTGGAGAATCTGAATCCGTCTGGAGAATTCACAGCGAGCCAGTGGACGTGTTAATGACGAATCGCTGCTGCCTTCTGCACGCTCTACCCAGGCACCTCCACTCGCCTAAACAAAATGGAATATCTCCAGTAGGTGTGAACAATGTCAGGTTGTGTGCTGTGTGCTGTGTGTGGTGTGTGCGAGGGCAAATCAGGACAGTATTTTTTCATATATGAAAATGGATTAGAGGAACTGGTAACACGTGACGGCTGCATACCAGGCTGACTTTTGTCCAGTGGGTACAAGGAACTGAGAGCATCTCAAAGTATTTTTGCTAAACACCTCAGGACATAAGAATAAGAATAAGGTGAGCTGAATAAATCAAGTTATTTAAATCATACATTTGATCTCAATTGTCAATCTATATAAAACTACTTGTACTATACTATTAGGAGTACCAGTACAATTACAAACGCAAACCACACACACACAAATAACGGCCGGAAGATTCAGTCTATAACAAACAGAACAGCTCAACACAACTAAAGCAGGACTGATGTGTTTTTTCCACAGAGCTTTGCCCCATGCTGTCATATGCTTAATATTCTGTGATGCAGTGGTCTATACAAAATACTGAACAATAGACAATTTTCTCACAGTAGGATGAAATGGGGATCATCAAAGCCGGAGGTGATGTTTTTATTTATTTTTTTCCTTCTTCCAGTTCAGGGAGAATAATAGTTAAATCCCACGTTGTAGAGGAAGTTACAATCAGTATAACTTGTAACTACATTCAAGAAAGACATTTGTGTGGTAAAATTAAGGTCATGTGTGGCTTTGTATTGTGAGCGTAGCTAGATTTGTTTCAGAGCTCACTGTGTATGCTCAACGTGAGCGACCATGATTCTCACCCTACATCAGAAATCTGTGTAGGGTCTATTATGGTTTATTTTTCTCATCTTTAATTTTGGGTGCCAACTGTAGCCTGTTTTATTTACAGCTACAAATCAGGGCAGCCCGAGATATAACAGAGCATTTGTGATGGCCCAGAAAGAAGCACTGCATTAACCCGGCCAGGAAACATCTCGGGTGTTGCTATTAAAGCCTTTTCCTTTTCTGAAACAAGATCCATCTGGAATCACGACACTGCCACATAATGGATAACATCAGCCACCTTGAAGAGGAAATGGTGAAAGAGATTGTGGTGTAGACTGCCGGGCCATGTGTTTACACAGTGTCTGCTGGATGGCGAGGTGACGGGCGGAGGCAGATCTGTCACAGGATACTCAAATCTGCGCTCCACAAATGTATTTAGAAGGTCACGGTCATGCTGCTCTGTAGCAGCCTTCCTCATTTAAATTTAATGATAACAGCTTTATGCTAAATATGAGACCGTCAGGGGCTATAGTGGGATGCAGGACCGAGGTTGCCTGTTGTTCATGCTCACTGGCCTCAAGCTCTAGGACAGAATAGCAGTGCCTATGGTAATATAGTTCACTAGAACTGATTAGAGAGGACATGTCCACTGTCTCCCCTCTGTTCATCCCTTCGATTTGCTTGGCTGGTTTTATTTGTACATCTAACAACAGTGGTCTAGTCATAATGAATCATTGCCCCGTATTCTCATGATGGTGGATCCAGATGGTGGTTGGTGGATCCTGATCGTGGTGGCAGCTGTCCGTGTACTATGAATACAACAAGACTGCTTAATATACAATACGCCTTCTCACATGTTCTACCATTACTGACAATAACTCCTCAATTCATATGTCACTGCTGCTCCCTTCATCTCTATCAGACATTTTCTTACGTATAAATACTTTAAACATCGACGCACTTTTCCATTATGTTAAAAACGGTTTCTTCTAATCAACGTTGTAAACAGTGTAATTTTGTTGATGCGTTGAGCTACACGCAGCATCTATTGCACTTTTGTCCGTCCTGAGAGAGGGATCCCTCACATGTGTCTCTCTCTGAGGTTTCTATAATATTTCCCCTGTTAATAGGGGGTTTGTTTTTGTAGTTTATCCTTTACTCTTGTTGAGGGTTAAGAACAGAGGATGTCACACTTTGTTAAACCCAACAAGACCCAATGAACCAATTAAGCCTATGGAATCAGAATCAGATTTATTGGCCAAGTATGTTCACAAAAACACAATGAATTCAGTTCCAGCCATTTCTCTCCAGCAATACACACAATATAAAAGACAAATTACAGACAATACACAATATTCAGATGAGATCAAACACAAAATATACAAATCGTGCATGCGAGTGTGTGGTACAGCAAATTATAATAATAAGCATCACTTCGAGAATAAATTGTGTTTATACAATAGGTTAAAATAACTAACTAAAGTAACTAGATGTAGTAGATGATACTGGACAGTTATTTATGATGTTGATGACATCAGTAAAGAAACCGCTCCTGTTCTTGGCAGCACTGGTGCACAGGGTTCTGTGTGTGCCTGCAGGAGGGAGGGAGTTGACATAGATTGTGTCCGTGGTGTGAGGAAGCTCCACGGTTTTTTTCTGCCCATTTCCTGCTTTTTAAAGAGTACAAGTCCTTGAGGGTGAGCAGAGGAACACCAATGACTTTTTTCTGCTGTCCTTACAGCTCGTGCTGTCGGTTATCCCTTTTGGTGGCTGCTCCGAACCGTGATTGATGTGCAGGGTGGATTCGATGACTGCATTGTAGAACTGTCTCTACAGCTCCTGTGGCAGACCACACTTCCTCAGTTGCCATGGAAAATACATCCTCGGCTCAGCCTTTTTAAGGACGGTGTTGATGTTTGTGCTCCGCTTCAGGTCTGAGGAAATATGTTGGATATTGTGATGGGGAGCAGAGCTGAGGGGTGTCTCCTAATTCAGTAAGACTTGAGGTGCCCCTGAAAGAAACATTTTAAAACCTGAGCAGTGTTC